ATTATAAGTCACGATCCATGCACTGTAAGTCGTATGATCATGACGTTGGTCCACCCTTACATTGGTAGCTCTGCCGACCTGACCAAGTGGGGGGAGGTCAACCTCGACGCCCTCCATGTTGCAGCGTCTGAGAAGATTCGCAAACATCGCGCTGCATATGCCATGACTACTCCTCCTCGAGCGGTACCGTGTTCCTGTGTCCAGCCTCCCTCCGGACCCCCGGGCAACGCCGGCTCCTTGTCGGCGGCTGCCCTTTCTCCGTCCGCGGCCGCCCGCTTTGTGGCGGCAGGGAACGTCTCGACTGACAGTGGTCAGTCGGCTGCCTCCGGGTATCGCGTCTAAGGGATTTTATTCCTCCTGCATGCTCCTGCTGCTTGTTGCTTGATTGCTTGACCCTTAGGCTGCTTGTCTGCGCGGCTTCGCGCTTGGGCTGGCGCTGCCGCGTCTGGTTGCCAGCAGTGCTGGTTCTTTTCGGGCTTGTGTTTTGTGTGTGATTGTGCAGCTTCTCGCTGTGGACTGTGTGCCTGCCGGTTCAGCTTGTTCCTGCTTTGTTTTGCTTGAGGCACTTTTTACCTTCTGCCAGTAAATCCATTACCTCCTCGAGCGTTCATCCCTCTTGCCATCTCGACGGACGGTACCCTGCATCCTGACACCCTCCGCTTCATCTGGTATCTGGTGGACATCATTGCTCAGCGCTCGATGCCTCTTGAGGATGCGGCGTTTGGTCGGCACTTCGTGCCTGATGATGGACCTGCTGCTGAGGTCTTGGCTCGCAAGCGCGCCGCCACCTATCAGCGCCTCACTATGCAGCTGACGCTGGAGGCGCTCTTGTCTGGTGCGAGGCGCATGACGCCCTTGCGGGCGCAAGCACTTCTCGAGCCAGAGGACAGCTCCTCCTCGGACTTTGTCGAGTCGCCCGAGGAGGAGTCTTCGAGTCGCCGGAGGTCTCCGACTCCGATGGGGGAAACACTTCGAGTGGCGCCGACGACCGGCGCGGACTCCGCTAGCGAGGCGTCTCCGTCCCTGTGACTGTGACGTCGGGTGCCTCCGGAGAGCTCGACACCACTGGGGTGCTTGCTGCTGGACCGAGCTCGCCTGCTTCCTCCCCGGCATCGGTCGGGTCACGCCGGTCCTTGAGCATTGCTGCGGCGTCGCCGCCGTCACGGGTACCGCTGACTCGGAGGCTAGCGAGGAGGACTACCTCGAGCGGTACCGTGTTCCTGTGTCCAGCCTCCCTCCGTCCGCTGCCCCAGGCGGACCCCCGGGCAACGCCGGCTCCTTGTCGGCGGCGGTCAATGGATTTACTGGCAGAAGGTAAAAAGTGCCTCAAGCAAAACAAAGCAGGAACAAGCTAAACCTCCAGGCACACAGCACACAGCGAGAAGCTGCACAATCACACACAAAACACAAGCCCGAAAAGAACCAGCACTGCTGGCACCCAGACGCGGCATCGCGGCTGCCCTTTCTCCGTCCGCGGCCGCCCGCTTTGTGGCCATAGGATTTACTGGCAGAAGGTAAAAAGGGGATTTTATTCCTCCTGCATGCTCCTGCTGCTTGTTGCTTGATTGCCTGACCCTTAGGCTGCTTGTCTGCGCGGCTTTGCGCTTGGGCTGGCGGTGCCGCTTCTGGGTGCCAGCAATGCTGGTTCTGTTAGGATTTGGGTTTTTGTTTTGGTTGTGGCGTTCTCGGTGTTCGCTTTCACCCTAGTCTTTTTTTTTTGTTTTTTTTTTCTTTTTTTTTCTTTTTTGTTTCAC